TTTTATAACCGAAATGAGAAAATATAGTTTTTTTCCCAAAAAATGTTGGTCTTTTTTCATTTATATAATAAAAAAAATTAAACAACCTATTGGTGATCAAATATCACCACAAGAAAGCTCTATTTGTGTTTAAAAAAAAGATATTGTGTACAGTGTTGCATGAGTGCACAATTACCAGACAAAGTAGCACAGTGCTGAAACAGCAAAAAAAAATGCCCTGGTCATAAAGGGGGTAAAACCTTCCGGAGCTCAAGTGTTTAAACAGCCACATGCACTCCCTCTGGCTTCCTCACAATGGGGCTCATCACTCAGCTTCGGCACTATCCCACTCAGAAAGTCATCCAGGCCAACCCAGCTACATCTCACCTACCCACAACACTCACACCCTATACCCCGCTGAAATTATGTTAATGATTTCATCACAGATAACTATCCAACATATCCATTAATGCAATATTAAAATTTAAATCTACATTTCAATCCAAAACACTCCATATACAATAAGCTTCAGTAAAATCAGGAAAAGTGCAGAAATAAATTTAAAATTTATTCAAGTGAATGTTTAGTGTTGCATCCAGAGGTTCCAAGGTGCAGCACTGAACACATTTTTCTGTAAAACTACTTGAATTGTATTTCAGCTTCTACTTTGTGCTAGTTTACCAAAGGAAATGTTTGCTTCAAGTAGCAGTTAAAACACCAGCCCAGTTCACACAGAGAACAATTTTAAGATAATAGGATATGACTGTATAATTGGTACCCATGTGGCAGCTTTCATATGGAAATTATATTTTTCAGCTTTATGGTGTAGGTAAGCAAAGAATATTTAGAAAAACACAATGAGAACACTTTGTGTGATGTGTGTACAATGACATAAATAACACATTATTGTAATCACCAAGCAGGAATCAGGCTTTCTTTGTCTGCCCATGGATGAAGCATTACAATGATCATACTCTTTAGAGACTTGAAGCCCCATGGGATATCAAGCTCTGTAAACATTGATGTTTACTTGAGAATAAAGACTCCAAGTAACACTACTTTTCCTTTTATTTCAAGAGCAGCTCTCACTGTTGTAAAAAATGGCATACTTTTGTGTGTTAAATTTATCTACTATTAACCCCAGTATTTTATTGGGTTATAAATATCATATATATATATGGGCAGCACAGTGGCTAAATGGTTAGCACTTCCGCCTGGCAGTGTACTAGGGTCGCTGGTTTGAATCCAAACCACGGCACCTTCTGCCTGGAGTTTGCATGTTCTCCCTGTGCCTGTGTGAGTTTCCTCCGGGTACTCCGGTTTCCTCCCACACGCCCAAGACATGCTGGTAGATTGATTGGCTCCTGTCTAAGTTGTCCCTAGTATGTGTATGTATGAATGTGAGTTAGTGACCTTCGATTGTACGCCCCTCGAGGGTTAGGGACTGATGTGAATGTACAATATATACGTGAAAGCGCTGCGTAAATTGATGGCGCAATATAAGTACCTGAAATAAATAAATATATATAACCTTAAAGAGTCAAACTGCTTTATGATTTTCCAAATATTAACAAGAAAAATGAATTTTTAAATGGTGTCAACATATAATCCACTGTTTAAAATGGTACAATTTAAAAATAAGCCAAATTTTCTTGTTTATATTTGGCATATCTTTATTTGGAATTAGGTGCCATTGGTTTCTGGACATCGGATCATTTTGTTATTGCTTTATGGTTATGTACATGCACTTTTTATGGATTTTTTTGGGCAATACCAAAACTCCAGTGTTGACAGGAACAGAACCAGACACTATAACAATATACACTATAGGGTAAATGCTGCTGTGTGATCTCCACCTTAAACTGTCTCTGCTATGCAATGACTTTTTGCAAAACTCAGGATAATTAGTCCTATATCTTTTTGTCTGTTTGTGGTGATTGATTCTCACTTCCTCCTTTTGTCTTTCTGTGAATAGAGAATCAATCACCTTTAATAATTTAGGCCTGGGTCTGTTGATGGTCTGGTTTTGACCAACCTCCCTCCAAATTCATGTTATCCTTATCAGTTCCTAATGGGGGCAGAGAATTGCTCATTTGATCATCTCCTTATAAATTTACACCAGCTTATGTGGTCAAACGGGGGTGGCGGTACAGTCGCAGACGGGGCATTGTCCTGCGTGAGTGCATTTTCTGCTGGAGTGCAAAATAGCAGTTGAACACAGCAGTATAACTAAAGCAAGATAACTCAAGCAGCAGGAAGATACAACAAAGAACTCTACTGTACGCTGGATGAACTGCAAGCAAACACCCTGGGAAACATCTCCTACAAGTCTGATTCCCATTCCAGCTAATATGTCCCCCCTCTACTCCTCCTTTGCATATTACTATCCTCCGTTTTCAAAATCTCATTTCTTTATCCCTCTCCTCCACCCCAAAGCTTATACATATCACTCTCACTTCTACCTACCTTGGCTTCAGGCCCACAACCCTCAAATTGATTGGATTCCATTTCCAATCCACCTATTGTCGAGAACATTGCTTACCAGAATTACTCAATTCTGCTGTGACCCCTACTGTGTATGAACTCTAATCTTGAAGTCTGTCAAATAGTGCCTAAACCTTATCATGAATATTTTGGTGTCTTCAGCAAATGGGGGGCTGATACCCTATCCCCTCATCGGCCATATGATTGCCCAATTGAACTGCTCCCGGGAGCAGAGATTCCTTTCGGGCGAATATTCCCATTTTCAGAACAGGAGCAGGAAGCTTTAAAAGAGTATGTTGATGAAAACTTAAACGTTTCATCCGCCCTTCCACTTCTCCAGCAGGGCAGGAATATTCTTTGTCGAGAAAAAGGACCAGTCTTTACGGCCATGTGTGGATTATCGGGAACTCAAAATTACAGTGAAGAACCGTTATCCCACTTCCTCTTGTGCCCAAACTGTTCCAAAGGTTGCGGTCTTTACCAAGCTGAATTTACAAGGGGCCAATAACCTGGTCCGCATATGTGAAGGAGATGAGTGGAAGGCGGCTTTTCGTACCAGATTCAGCCACTTCAAATATTTGGTTATGCCCTTCGGTCTCTGCCCTTCGGTCTCATGCCACCTTCCAGCATTTATTAATGATATATTCAGAGACTTCCTAGACATTTTTGTAATTGTATATTTTAGACGAAATCCTAATCTTCTCTGTATCCCTTGACTCACGCCGAAGGCACGTGAAGAGTGTTCTATGCCGGCTCCGCCAACATGGACTTTACGCCAAACCCGAGAAGTGCAAGTTCGAGCGGCAGTGCATCCAATTCTTGGGCCTAGTGATCTCTACAGCAGGCATTAAAATGGATTCCCAAAAAGTGTTATCTATCTTAGACTGGCTGGCACCCACAGACAAAAAGGGGGTGAAATGGTTTGTGGGATTTACAAACTTCTACCGGAGATTTATTAAAGATTCTCCGCCATTATTGCCTCCATTACACAGCTGACTAAATGGAACCTTTGTTTCCACTGGAGCCTTGACGTACAAACTGCGTTTGGAACTCTCGAGATTTTTCACTTCCGCCCCTATTCTCAATCATACCATACATATTGGAAGAGGATGCATCAGAAATCGCAGTGGGGGCAGTGGTCTGAAGGACTTAATGCATCCTGTGGCCTTCTTTTTGCGCAAACTTTCTCCAGCAAAGAGAAACTATGATGTGGGAAATAGAGAACTGCTTGCCATCAAAGCTGCCTTCTAAGAATGGAGGTACCTGTTGGAAGTAGCGGCACACCCTATATTGATCTATACTGATCATAAGAACTTCGAGTATTAAGATCTGCTAAACGTCTGAAGCCATGACAAGCTCAAAGGGCACTGTTCTTCTCGAGGTTTGCTTTCCATATCACTTACCGATCTGGATCAAAGAATACTAAACCGGATGCTCTGTCTCGTATGTATGATGACCCAGGAGAACCTCCTGTACCAGACACCATCCTGCCTGCAGGTAACTTTTTGTTATTCAAACTGACATTCTTTCACAGATTAAACAAGCCTCTGTGAGGATCCCCTACCCTTCTGCTATTACACTGGTTCTTAAAGAAGGTTTGCTGAGGTTGAAGGACAAAATCTTTTTGCCAGAAAGTAACCGAGTGTCTGTTCTGAGGCTTTTTCATAATAACCCCCTGACAAGCCACTTTGATGTCCACAAGACTCTCGATTTGTACAACGTACATTCTGGTGGCCAACTCTGGAGGAATTTTGTAAGAAATGCGTAAACTCATGTACTAACTGTACCCGGAGTAAGACTGCAAGAAGCAGAGCTTGGGGTTTACTCAAACCCTTGCCAGTTCCTGAAAGACCATGGAAAATGATATCGATGGATTTCATATTAGAACTTCCACCTTCTGAAGGATGTACAGCAATTTTTGTGGTGGTAGACCGATTGTCTAAAGCAGGCATGTCCAAAGTCCGGCCCGCGGGCCAATTGCGCGGCCCGCGTTCCGGACTGAAACGGCCCCACAGGTGAGCTACCCAAATACATAACTTACGGCCCCCGGTAGTGATTCCCTGAAAGCTACTGAGGACTCCAGCGATCTCTTGACATCATCAGCTGGTGCAGGAAGGAGAGCCCAAATCTCGCGACGTCCGAGATCTCGTGAGATTTCTGCTTTCCTTCTCTGTGTGCCGGCTGATGACTCAATTCCCGCTCGACAGATCCCTGGAGTCCTCAGTGGCGTTCGCAGAATCGCTAGTGGAGGGCCGTAAGTTGTATATTGGCAGCTCATCTGTGGGGTCCGGAACGTGGGCCGAGTGATCCCAGGTGTGCGCAGGAATTACTACTGGGGCTACCATTTACCATTATTTACTATGTCTGCAGTCTCTGGTCATCTCCTGTACTATGTCCGCAGTCTCTGTCATCCCCTGTACTGTGTCCGCAGTCTCTGGTCATCCCCTGCACTGTGTCCGCAGTCTCTGGTCATCTCCTGCACTGTGTCCGCAGTCTCTGGTCATCTCCTGCACTGTGTCCGCAGACTCTGGTCATCCCCTGTACTGTGTCCGCAGTCTCTGGTCATCTCCTGTACTGTGTCCGCAGTCTCTGATCATCTCCTGTACTGTGTCCGCAGTCTCTGTGGTCATCTCCTGTACTGGTGTCCGCAGTCTCTGGTCATCTCCTGTACTGTGTCCGCAGTCTCTGGTCATCTCCTGTACTGTGTCCGCAGACTCTGGTCATCCCCTGTACTGTGTCCGCAGACTCTGGTCATCCCTTGTACTATGTCCGCAGTCTCTGGTCATCTCCTGTACTGTGTCCGCAGTCTCTGGTCATCTCCTGTACTGTGTCCCGCAGTCTCTGGTCATCTCCTTAACTGTGTCCGCAGTCTCTGGTCATCTCCTGTACTGTGTCCGCAGTCTCTGGTCATCTCCTGTACTGTGTCCGCAGTCTGTCATCTCCTGTACTGTGTCCGCAGTCTCTGGTCATCTCCTGTACTGTGTCCGCAGTCTCTGGTCATCTCCTGTACTGTGTCCCGCAGTCTCTGGTCATCTCTCCTGTACTGTGTCCGCAGTCTCTGTCATCTTCCTGTACTGTGTGTCCGCAGTCTCTGGTCATCTCCTGTACTGGATGTCCTCAGTCTCTGGTCATCTCATGTACTGTGTCCCATCTCTGGCCATCTCCTGTACTATGTCTGCAGAGTCCATTGGTTCAGAATTTTTTTTTTCCTGTTTTTTCGCCTCTAAAACCTAGGTGCGTCTTATGGTCAGTGCGTCTTATGGAGTGAAAAATACGGTATCAATTTGGGCTATAATGGATTGGTGCTCAGGATCGCTTGATGGTCATCAGACAGTGCAAGGAGAAACAAAGCCCAAATCGCGCGACCTCCGAGATCTCGCGAGATTTGGGCTTTCCTTCTCCCTGTGCTGGCAGAGTGATTTAACACCTGTTTAGATTTGTCATCCAAGTCACAAAATGAAAAGTATGCCGTTTTCAATAAACTTTTGCATAAAATAGTTCATTTGCATTTAATGTTAATGGTTCATCAGAATGTCGGCAAAATGGTCGGCCCTCGCACATGTTCACTTCATCAAATCTGGCACTCTTCCAAAAAAGTTTGGACACCCCTGGTCTAAAGTAGCCCATTCTTTGCTCTAAGGAATACACCTTCTGCCATGGAAAGGGCCCAGGTGTTTGTTAAGGAAATTGTGAGCTGCATGGGGTTCCTGCAAACATTGTCTCTGATCAAAAAGTTCAATTCACTTCTCACTTTTGGAGGCCATTTATCGTGAATGTGTGTATATGTGAAAATTGAATTGTCCTTGTGCATCAGCTTACGCACCCCCAAGACACGGGCAACAGAAAGGACCTAATCAAGACACTTGAACAATTTACCATTCGATTGTTTACATCCTTTTGTCCAGGACAACTGGGTACAAATTTGTGCCATTGGCCGATATTTGCTTATAATAATGCCTAGACATTCAGCCACAGGTACAATCCTCAGTCTTTGCCAACTTCAGTTTTACTTTTCATCCTTCCTTTCTGGCAGACTTTTATTCAGAATCCAGAGCAGTTGGCCTTGCCATTCAGAGCATGGTGGACTTTCTCAACCGTAAACAATATAATATGTTACAAGAAGTGTTGGCTAAAGCACGGGTGCTGCAAATAAGAGGGCATGTGATCAGGAAGAGAAGGGGGGAATTGAGTCTTCAGGTGGTTGATCAAGTGTGGCTATCCACGGCAAAACCTAATTTCGCATGTCCTTTCTAGGAAAACTCGCACCAAAATTTTGGGGCCATTCCCAGAGAAATGGCAATTATAACGAGAGAATGCATATCATAATACGAACTCTCTTTACCAGTAATCAATTAATATCCTCCAGAATCTATTTCAGAAGATTTTGTTTCCGATAAAAGGCCTGTGAGACGAGAGACTCATTCCTGATAGGGGGCCACCAAGTCTAGTACCTCCTCGGAACCTGTGCTTGTAAATGGAGATGAAGAATATGAGGTGAAAGCTATTGTTGATTGCAGGGAGAAGAAGCGAACCAGCTGCAGTACCTGATCAAGTGGAAAGGGTATGGTCTGAATGAAAACAGCCTGGGAGTCCCGAAGAGATGGGCCCCATGCTAAAGGACTTATTTGTGATCTTTTTATTTTCCGTGTCCACGCCCCCAGACAAAGGAAGCAGCTGGTGAACATCCAGAGGTTGCCCGTGAGGGATGCGGAGCAATGTCAGTAAAAAAATGCTTGCCATAATGCACCTAAAGCCCTCTGGGCTTGCACAATGGCACAGATGTGCGAGGGCCCGTTCAGCTGCGTGCATAGTTGTGCGCTATTAGCGTTCGCACATGTGCACAGTTCGTGGCATCCCGTTGCTAATGTTGGCGCCAATCAGATTATTTAAACCCAGCAGCACTATTAGCCTGTGCGGTCTGAGATCTGCAGCTCCCTCTCCTGTATTACTACTGTGCTTATGCTACTGTGAGTTCGATACCTGTGATTGACCCGATCATAGTCTTGTTCTTCTTGGACTCCGCCTCAGCGCCTTCTGTCACTAGCTATGATTCCTGCTCCCAGACCATCACGTGACCTTAGGCTTGTGACCTGACCAATCTACTGCCTGTCGTTTATGCCTGAATCTTGCTTATCGATATTTAAGCGGAACCCCGATTCTCGCTCCTGACCCTGCAGACAGTGTGCTACACTACCCTGCCATACCAGTTCCTGCTCTGCCACCCCAAAGCCCATAGTTCCGCTGTGACGACTGCCTGCTACCATCCTGCTCCGCTGCCAGCCGGAATTCCAGCCAACCCATCTGCCAGTGAATGCCAACAATTCCTGCACAGACTACAGGACAGCGAACCAGGCACGCAATTACCCCACCGTGCTCTTTGTGGTTGCTGTTCTACCTTCAGTACCCTCGACCGGACTCTACAAAGGCC